TACTTATGTTAGTCACCAACTTCATTCTTTTATATTTTTCTATATTGAACTCGCAATTATCACCTTCAATGGAAAATCATATTCATGGCATACGTAAATTACTTTGACTGTCATATATAATCACAAGTCAAGTAGTACCACATAAGAAGAATTATGCTAAAACTTAAAATTAGTTTGTTTTCTTCATGAGGTTAATTAGAGATTATATTTTGGAATTTTTTTTTTTTTTTTTTTTTTTGACAAACAAATTTAGCTATTCAAAGGAACATATTTTGGAATAGAAAAAGTTAGACCATGTGCACTGGAGTATCCAAAAAATTAAATTACACAAACCGACCCGGAATAGTAGTTGTCAAATATAGTCTTAATGACATAAGGTTGTTCGATTTTTATCAAGGGCATGTCGTGTAAAAACGGATGAACAAGTAAGTGGTAAAAAAAAGTGGCTGCAAATATAATAACATAGATATTTTTCAAATGAAAATCTTGTTTACGTATGAGGAAAGTACGACGCTTCAAAATTAGGAAAATATCAACGTGGAACAATCTTGCTATTTTGTGAAAGAGGCAACAACCTTTATGCCAAAAGATATATTTGTGATGGATGCAAGTGTTTTTTCAATCATGAGAGTTTTTTTTTTCTTGTGATGCATAAACAATGATTGATTGAATTTATATCTTTCTCTGACTTGTATATTTTTTTTTTCAAATTGGATTATACTGTACATCTGTATTTTTTTTGTGAACTAGCTATGAATATTTCGATTTCACCTACTTTATTTAAGACAACAAAACGAATCTCAGCAATTTCCTAATGGATTATGTGGAGTAGGTTACCATGTCGCTGTCCCTTAACGAGTGACACGAAAAGTTTTCTCCAAATATTTTTACAACAAAATGCAGCAAGCTTTGAAAATTATTTACTATGACTAATTAATTAGAAGATTTCATCTAGTAGCAAACCAAAGATCCTTTGTCGTATTTAGAATCTCCCATGCTTAATTCAAATCGACGACAATATGTTACGTATTTCTTTATTTATGCACCTAGTTAGTGAGTTGAGGAGGATGAGTGTGGAGTTCGCCATGTCTACTACTACTTTCTCTCCCACCAGATAGACTGAATAGTTGTCTAAAAGACGTATTGTAAGAAAAAACAAAAGTAGCGAGAATGTAATTTTTTGAACAAGGCTTTTCCATATGTTCCTCTGGACACCTTCATATGAAGAAGAAATGGTTCCGTATCTTTTAAGAAGCTATATCACATGACGTTTTAACTTAGTTAAACACTAAATCTAGGAAATATTTGGACACCGGGACATTGCGTGAATTCATGAAAGCATAAATCAGATAATTAAACAGAGATTTAGTAAGTAACGTTTTCGAACTCAAATCTCTAAGGGAAATTGGACGTATCGACCGGCCGGTCCTTAATTATGCGCATGCTTTATCTTTTCGCATTGACCATAACTTTTGATTGCACCATTAGATTTCATTCATAACACTTGGAAATAATAGAGCTTGTGGTAACACTTGTTCACAAATAATAGCACCAAAAAAAAATTTGTTTCCAAATTTAGAAAATCATATCTAATGTTTTAAAACCGCACTATATTTCAAAATGAAATCCTAAACTCTAAACGCTAAATCCTATAACCGTATCCTAAATGTAAAATAATCAATCCAAACCTTAAAAAATAAAATTCAAAAATAATAAGTTAAAATATTCCTCTGTCACTTAATACTTTTTTGGAAATTTGTATAGTATATGATGTAATTGTCCATAAAAAATATTTAGTACATTTTAAAGATATATTTTTTAATATTAATTGTTAAAAACCCGATAAAATACATCATGTAATTATATTATTTTTTTAACATCATGTAATAATGGATCAATATACTACTTGTTCATCGATTATCATATAAATTAAATTTGACACTGACAAATCGACTAAACTAGTGAGCACCTCGTTAGTCTTTGTTTAATTTAAAAATGGTTATGGACATTGTTTCATAACTAAACACATAATTTGGGGTACATACATACAACCCCATATAATAATATACAAACCAATTCAGAAATTGGCAATACAAAAAAAAGCGGCATAGATGGTGCATGGCTAGGTACTTAGCTGTCATGACTTTGACTTCTTCCTTCTGTGATCTGAATTATTTTACAGTTAGTGTGATTTGTTTGCTGTTGGTGGTTGAAGTAAAGATAAGAAAGAAAAAGAAAGTCGAAGTAAACAAACTAACATGACACAAAAAACTAATAAGGGAGACTATCGATAATAGTGTTTAAACTAAACAAAGACCGACTACGTGCCCACTAGCTAGTATAAATATTATTTTTTATATTTCAAAATTAATAGATTAATTAAGTAAAGCAATTTTTTATATTTTATATTTTTCAATTAAAAAAGACAGTAATGTTTTTTTTAAAAAAATTCTCTATTTTCTACAAAATCACGTAAATTTATATATATATATTATATACTTAAGAGTTAAGACTAAAATAGTAAAATAAAAGAACTAACTAATTTTAAGAATAAACTTCTTAGAAAGTATTCTGTAATTATTGAACACCATAATCGATTCAATAAGATAATAAACGGTTTGTTAATTTAAAATTTTATTATCAAAAAATAATTAATTCTTTTATCTTCACTTTTATATTAGTTTTGTAATAAAAAATAACTAATTATAAAAATACATTATGCAATACCATAAGAGTTTAAATATAGTTTTTGTATTTGTTTGAAAATTTTTTAAAAATTGAAAAAATATTTTTAAAATATTTTTTAATATTTTTTTTGGTTAACGCCGGTCAATGTTGGTCAATGTCGGTCAACACCGGATTCCGACGAATAGTGTACCAGAATAAAATGATTGTGATGTTGATCATATGTCGACATATAATTAATACATGTGGACATGCAATACATATAGTTTGTATAGCTAACTATATATTTTCATAGTTGACATGTGTAGTAATATATTCTGCCATAGTTGCTGTAGCTCACTATCTTTTTCCTTTATTTAATAATTATCAAAATTGCATAATATCAAACTTTACTACATCAGTTTCATTATACATGTTTTATATGTTAAACATGTTCCGTTTTAAAACTCGTCTCGTCATATAATCTATTGGAAACATATTACAACATTTTCCGTGTTATACCCCGTCATGTCATATAATCGCCAAAAAAATAAATCCATATTTAAAAAATGGCAAAGTCAATAATACTTTAGTATAAACTTGGTGTAAAGCTAAAATATTGATAACACATAAACTTTTAAAAAGTTTTCAATATGTTAAATATTTTAAACTTTATATGTAGTTAACAATCATTCCCGTCTTACTACTTGTCCCGTCATATATTCCCCCAAAAAATTGAACCCATGTTTATAATCCCATCATTCGTAGTTGGAAGGTTATAATCTTATTTATATATGTTCTGAACCAATAATTCTAATCGATATGAGATGTTGTACACATGCTAAAACAATTTGTAATATATATCCGTTTAAAAAAATTCAAATTGCAAAATATGCGGAAAAAATATTTTTTTATTATACATATGTTTGATGTAATAAAAAAAAAATTAAAAACAAATTAGATCATATAAAGACTTAGGAGAAATATTTGAGAAAATGTTGAAAATAAGAAATGATATTATATTTATTAAGGAAAGATTTTAGGGACTTTTTTTAAAATGATTATTGTTAGTTTTTGAAATTTTGACTAAATAATTAATGCCATTGGCATAGTCTTGTAAATAACTTCCAACTCTAAAGTTTTTTTCAAAAGGTGCTGCAAAAATATTAATATAGATAAGTAAGTATCACTGCTCATTAAAACTTCTTTGAGAAAAACTGAAAATATTGATTTAACTGATTTATCTATGGACAATTCTCACTAAAATAATTTTTCTTTTCAAAAATATCATTATTAGTTTTTTTTCTTCTAAAAGTACTCCAAAAGTAAAGGCTAAATCTAACTTAAACAATGACATGAAGTATTTTACAATGACATGAAAAAGAACTAACATATAAATATGTAGCTCGAAGATAGTTATGAAGACTCGAACTAATTTACCACTTAAATCTTTTAACATATAGTAAAAATTTAAGTTTTTAATAAGTTAGTTGGTGGAAATGCCCCACACTCGTACACGTGGGCCCAACCCTGAAGCGTATTTAACTGTGCGGGAGAAGCAGTTTTAATATGCGGTACAATTCAACTGCGATATTTAGAGAAAATAAATTTGCGGGACAAGTGCAGTTTACGATGTTCTTAACCGCTAGGTAAATATTATTAACGTTTTAAAAAGCGTTTCATGCCTATATATGTTGGTTAATTCTGCAAATCTCAATATTCCAAAAAGAACTAACAAAAAAATAAATCGGGTTGAATGGTAACATATGTATGTTATTGCGGTGCGGGAAAAAAAACGCCCTGTTGCTTTTATGATCACCATTCATGGCCATAATACTAGATGAGGCGGCAGTTAAAAATGTTGGTTTAAAACTGATTCACGAAGATTATTTATCAACAAACCTACATATAACATTACCTTACATTGAATTTCCTATCAAACAATTTTTGATACATAAATGACATCAAATAAAATATTCTATAGTGGGGGCTCATAAAATCATAATTTGTTAGAAATTGAAGAGCACTTGCCTGTTGAAAGTTAGACGAGCCAAAAGAAGGGAATAAAGAAGTCGAATTAAACAAATTAACATGGTAGACAAATCCTGATGAGTGGGAAGATCGATATTACTATGTAAACTAAACAAAGACTAGCAACGTGCCCCACTAGTAATAATTGTCAACGTCAGATATAATAATGTAACACAACAAGTAGCATAGCCATTGATATACATATGAAGAACAACACAGTTGTATATTGATCTGTTATTACACGAAACATCAACTTACATAACATCCTCTGATTCCTCTCTAGCTCTGTTATAACCGCAACCGCCATGAGTTTTAAGTTACAAGGACACGAGCATCTTGTATCTTTGATTGACTATCGTGTTAAATTCGAATGCAAAGCTTGCGATCGTTCATATGGTGGTGGTGGCCTCTCATGCGGTGAATGCAGTTTTGCTATTCACATGAAATGTGCATTTGTGTTCATGATAAATGACATATTCGACCATCCTTCTCATGACGGGCATTGTCTTAAGCTTCTCACAACCGGAGCTCCTGATCCCACCGACCCAAAATGCCATCTTTGTGGTAAAGACACCAACCGCCTTCTCTATCATTGCTCTGATTGCAAACTCAGTTTGGATATTGGTTGCATAATTGATTACCTCTGCTCCCGAGCCCAGCTGAATGAGCCGTGGCACCATCATCCTCTCCTCATGTTCGATTTTGGTGTACACACGCGTTGCGACTTTTGCGGTGAGAATTGCAAACATGGGTATCTCTGCCCTCGTTGCAGGTTGGTTATTCATGAAGGATGTACCTACGTATTTGATTCACCAGAGATTATTCACCCTTCTCATGTCAGGCATCCTCTAAAGCTTATCACCAATGGAGCTCCAGATTATACAGACCATACATGTCATATATCTGGGGGCAACGCTGGGAACTTACTTTACCATTGTGATATTTGTAAGTTCAATTTGAGTATGCCTCTGGCGGTAACACCCACACCAGCTACTCTTTCAAATATGAAGGTCCATGAGCATACACTAACACTCATGCCAAGATTGATTTCTTTCGTGTGTGATGCTTGTGGGACGAAAGGAGACCGTTCTCCTTATGTGTGTCTTCAATGCGATTTCATGGTTCACCAAGGGTGTGCTCATATGCCACGTCTTATTCACGTCAATCACCATGACCACCGTGTTTCGTACAAGTATCCTCTTGGTCTTCGAGGATTGAAATGTGGAGTTTGTTGGGAAGAGATTGATTGGTCATATGGGGCTTATTCTTGTTCTCTTTGTCCTTGTTATGTTCTTCATTCACTATGTGCAACAAGGCATGACGTGTGGGATGAACAAGAGCTTGATGGAAAACCTGAAAAGATTGAAGATATCGAGCCATTCAAGAGGAATGATGACAACACAATCACTCATTTCTGTCATAAACATAACCTCATGAGCCTCAACAAAGATGGCGAAGAAAGTAGTTTGTGTGGAGCATGTGCTCGTCCCATCGGTTCAAATGCATTCTACAAGTGTTCAGATTCAGACTGCAGTTTCATTCTCCATGAAACATGTGCTGATCTTTCTAAAGAGAAACGTCATTTTCTGAGCCCAACACCTCTGCCTCTTAGCCTCTACAACAAACACTACACAAAAAGTTGCAAAGCTTGTCATCAAGCTTTTTGCCAAGGATTCATCTACACTAAATATCCATGGTATTATGACTTGCTATGCAGTTCGATTACGGTGCCTTTTATCCATGCAAGTCATGATCATCATTTACTCTTCCTCCGATTAGCATTTGGTGGCGGCGACCCAAAGACTTGCCAGAGTTGCGGCATTGATGAAGATGAATTCGTCATAGGTTGTATGAAATGCGATTACTTTTTGGATTTCCGTTGTGCCACTCTACCATTAACGGTAACTCTTCCAAGGTACGATGATCATCCACTTACTCTATGTTATGATGATGAAAAGGCAAGCGACACGGGAAAATACTGGTGTGATATTTGCGAAAGAGAAACAAATCCAAAGACTTGGTTCTACACTTGCAAAGATTGCAGGGTTACTTTACATGTTTTTTGTGTAGTTGGGGATATCAGGTATGCCAAACCAGGAGCAAAAGTCGATTTCTCATTTGAGTTGCTTCCTAACAATACATCTTCACGACCACTTTGCCACAACTGTAATTGCCGCTGCCCAGGTCTCTTCATTGTTAAACATATGACGGATGACATAGTCCTTTGTTCTTATTATTGTTTAAATGTTTTCCAACCGAGGGAGTTTGTTGATGTTAGAAGCATATGCCCTCCATGGGCATTAGAACCCAATACTTGATGAGGTGGCAGTTAAAATGTCTGTTTTGAATTTCGATTTTTTTTTTTTTTTTTTTTTTTTTTATTGATATATTCACCCAAAAAAAAAAAGAACTGATATATTTCACGACTATATCAGTTCTGCTTTGTTATGGCATAATTTACTTCCTTTCATATTCTCTCTTTTTCTTAATAAAAATATATGGTGTGCCTACTGATCTTAAGACTTAGCCTACAACTTCATTCTTTTGTTTATTTGTATCAAACTCACAATTATCACAATTATCACCATCAAATGGTATACATAAATTACATGTTGATAGGTCCTATACCATGAACATTTTGGTATCTGCTTGTCCGATTTTTTTTTTTTTTTTTTTTTTTTGGTCATCTCTTGTCCGATTAATCAATTTACATTTCATTAAAAGAAAAGAAAAAAATGTAAAAATGTGTCAAAGAGTTACTTTTTTAAAAGCCCTAATTAGCAAAAAGAGATAAAAAAAAAGTAAAGCTTTTACAAAGCAAATTCTTCTTAGCGAATAATTTTTTTATTTTGAACAAAGCAAATAATTTAAAGACCCAAAATTACCATAAAATTATCATGAAATTGAAAACGACATCGTTTTAACAGAACAAAAGTTAATGTCGGTTGTTTATTCTTAAAAACTATTAATACCGTTAATTATCTTATTTTCAAAAGTTAATAAGATAATTATAGTTAATTATCTTATTTTCATAAAGTTATTATATATAACTAACGATTCCAAAACACCCTTGTTTCTTTTGGTTAAAACTTAATTAATGATAATTCAAGATAGTTTCTAAAAGACTGAATTTGGTCGAGGCCAAGAATATTTCGAGCTAAAACTTAATTAGTGATAATTTAAGATAGTTTCTAAAAGACTGAACTGGGTCCAGGCCAAAAATATTTCTCTATCTAGTTCTAGGCAGTGAACTGATAGATTGGTTTTCGTTGAAAAGATTTTTACTACTTGTTTTCAACATGAAAGTCTCTCAAAAAAGTGGTTTAGACTATTAAAAGGTAAAAGTCAAATTGAAAAATTTCTTCACATTAATATCTGAAAGAATGAAATATAATGTTTGATTGATTTCGGTATTTTTTTCGCAAAATGGATGTTGAATACTTAGTTTCACCAATTACTAATTTATATTTGGTTAAAGAAAATACCAAGTATATATTTTCCCAATAAACAGAACTTAGGTTTTTATGTGGACTAACCGAATCGAACTCGTTAATCAGTTGATTCAGTTCTTAATAATTTTCATTTTCAGATTTAAAATTCTGATTGCCTAAGCTTAACTCTAGGTAGCTTGTATATATATATATATATATTGTATGTATGAATGTTAAAATATATTCATCAAAAAACCTGTTTTACAAAAAAATGCATTATTTGGCTGAATGTTTTAGAACTTTAAGTAAAAAAAAAACAGTTTAGAAAAAAAAAACTTGAGTTTTTAAAGGTTTTGGATGATTTTTAAAAGATTTACAAGGGATTTTAAATAATTTGCTAAAGGTTTTAAAAATACTTACAAGTTTTTTAGAGAATTGCGAAAAATTATGGTTGAAAATTTTTGGCGGGAAAATTTGGCGAAAATATTTTGGAAAAGAGTATTTTTTTTGTTTGAAAAAATATTTATTTCTTCGTCATGCGTATTACTAAAAGAAGGTAATTTAGTCATTTGTTTTTGAAGTAGGCACAGTAAAAAAATCTTTACAAAAAGAATAATTTAAAAAAGTAATTTCTTCAAATCACCCATGTGAGTACGTAGTAGGTAGAAATAAAAGAACACTTCCTATCGAGAGTTAGAAGAGCCACAAAAAAAAATAAAAAAAAATAAAGAAGTCAAAGTAACATGGTAGACAAAACCAGAGTGGGACGATCGATGTTACTGTGTAAATTAAACAAAGACTAGCGACGTTCCCCACAAAAAATTATTGTCAACGTCAGATATATTATAATGTAGCAAAAATATACATGTAAAGGAACAGATCTATATTGATCCCTTATTACACGAAACATTACATCTTCAGATTCCTCCTCTCCTCCTCTGCTAACTGAAACCTCCATGAGTTTTAAGTTAGAAGGACACGAGCATCTTGTATCCTTGATTAATTATCGTGTTAAATTCGAATGCAATGTTTGCGATCGATCATATGGTGGTGGCTACTCATGCGGTGAATGCAGTTTTGCTATTCACATGGATTGTGCATTTGTGTTCAAGATAAATGACATATTCGACCACCCTTCTCATGAAGGACATTGTCTTAAGCTTCTCACAACTGGAGCTCCTGAACTCACCGATCCAATATGTCATCTCTGCGGTAAAAACACCAAGCGCCTTCTTTATCATTGTTCTGATTGTAAAGTCAATTTAGATATGGATTGCATAATTGATTCCATGTGTGCCCGAGCCCCGCTGAATGTGTCGTGGCACCACCATCCTCTCATCATGTTTGATTTTGGCAATCTTATGTCTTGTAACTTTTGTAGTGAGAACTGCAAACTTGGGTATCTCTGCCCTCGTTGCAGGTTGGTGATTCATGAGGGATGTATCTCCGTATTTGACTCACTAGAGATTATTCACCCTTTACATGTCAGGCACCCTCTTAAGCTTATCACCGATGGTGCACCAGATTATACGGACCGTACATGTCATCTATCTGGAGACAACGCTGGGAACTTACTTTATCATTGTGATATTTGTAAGTTCAACCTGAATATGCGTCGTGCGGTGTTGAAACCCACGCCAGTTGCTCTTTCAAATATGAAGGTCCATGAGCATACACTCACACTCATGCCAAGATTGATCTCCTTCGTTTGTGATGCTTGTGGGACGAAAGGAGACCGTTCTCCTTATGTGTGTCTTCAATGCGATTTCATGGTTCACCAAAAGTGTGCTCATCTACCACGTGTTATTCACGTCAATCACCATGACCACCGTGTTTCATACAAGTATCCTCTTGGTCTCCGAGGATTGAAATGTGGAGTTTGTTGGGAAGAGATTGATTGGTCATATGGGACTTATTCTTGTTCCATTTGTTCTCTCTATGCTCTTCATTCACTATGTGCAACAAGGGGTGACGTGTGGGATGGGGAAGAGCTTGATGGAGTACATGAAGAAGTTGAAGATATCGAGCCATTCAAGAGGAATGATGACAACACAATCACACATTTCAGTCATGAACATAACCTCATGAGCCTCAGCAAAGACGGTGAAGAAAGCAGCTTATGTGGAGCATGTGTTGGTCCCATCGGTTCATACACATTCTACAAGTGTTCAAATTCAGATTGCAGTTTCATTCTCCATGAGACCTGTGCTGATCTTTATAAAAAGAAACGTCATTTTCTGAGCCCAAAACCTCTGGCTCTTAACCTCTACAACAAACGCAGCACAGCAAGTTGCAAAGCTTGTCGTCAAGCTTTTTGCCAGGGATTCATTTACTCTGTATATCCACGGGACTTTGACTTACTATGCAGTTCGATTACTGTGCCTTTTCTCCATGGAAGTCATGATCATCATTTACTCTACCTTAAACTACAATTCAGTTATGACCCAAAGACGTGCCAGTGTTGCGGCATTGATGAAGATAGAGTCGTCGTAGGTTGTATGAAATGCGATTACTTTTTGGATTTCCGTTGTGCCACTCTACCATTAACGGTAACTCTTCCAAGGTACGATGATCATCCACTCACTCTATGTTATGGTGACAAAAAGACGAGAGGCAAGTATTGGTGTGATATTTGCGAAAGAGAAACAAATCCAAAGACTTGGTTTTACACTTGTAAAGATTGCGGGGTTACTTTACATGTTTTTTGTGTAGTTGGGGATATCAGGTATGCCAAACTAGGAAGAAAAGTCGACTACTCATTTGAGTTGCTTCCTAACAATACATCTTCACGACCACTTTGCCATGTCTGCAATTGCCGTTGCCCAGGTCTCTTCATCGTTAAACATATCGAGAAAGACATAATCCTTTGTTCTTATTATTGTTTCAATCTTTTCAAACCGAGGGACTATGTTGATGTTAGAACCATATGCCCTCCATGGGCATTAGAACCCAATACTTGATGAGGTGGCAGTTAAAATGTTTGTTTTAAATTTCGATTTCTTTTTCTTTTTTAAATTTGTTGTTGTTGCTGTTGTTATTGTTGTTCACCAAAAGAAACAGGAAAAAATGAACTGATTCACGACTATAACATGATAATACGACCGTGTGTATATATGGTGTGCCTACTGATCTTATAAGGCTTAGCCTACAACTTCATTTTTTTTGTTTATTTGTATCAAACTCATAATTATCACCATCAAATGGTATACATAAAATTACATGTTTAAACTCATAAATAAGAAAAGACAACAGTTGATGACAAAAAAAAAAAAAAAAAAAAAACAACAGTTTTCGTTCTTAGAATACTAGGTGCTGGTTCGTACGACACTCTCTTAAAAAGGAAATATCAACTTGGAACGACCATTTTGTAAAAGAGGAAACAATCTCATGCTACTCAGTACTCACATCCTAGGTTGTGTCAAGTGCATGCATCTATTTTTTGGATTTTCGTTGCGCTACTCTTCCATCAACAGTGATCTTCCCAGTTATGATGTTCATCACATCACTCTTTGTTACAGTGGAAAGGCAAGCGATCGACAAGTATTGGTGTGATATTTGCGAACGAGAAACGAATCGAGGGATTCTGGCAACATCGAGTTCTACTGTTCTTCGTATTGTTTCGAATCTCGCCCGCTCCCTCTTATTTATCCGAGTATCATACCACAATGTCATCCATGGGGATTAAGAAGTTATATACCATTACTTGATGAGGTGGTAGTTTCTCTATTCTTTGTAAGGTTGGACTCATTGTTATTATAAACTATTCAAAAACAACATTTAAACTACTTGACAACTTCAACAATGATCTACATACGATCATCTGCATCTTTATGTGCCTCAGTGTAACTTCAGCTCTAGCGCAATCTTATTACAATCTTATTCGGGTCTTAGCACAATCTAAATGGTATTCTAGTGATGCTAGCCTACAATGTCTTATGTCTCATATATTAATTTTATGTTTTATCTAGTTCTGTTCATGGTATACATTAAGTAAGCTAAGTTAACAGTTAACACTCGTACTTTCACATAAGTCAAGTGGACATACGACCAATTAAGCTATCATTTCTAACATTACCATTCCATTGTTTTACAGCTCATGAGTCATGACTGTGACCTTGTACCACGTTTTTATTTAATCCAAAACACTGAAACTTCTAGCAAAGTGAATTCGAGAATACGATTTTAACAGGTTTTTCCATAGCTCAACTGTAAAACCTGCTCAAAGTGAAAAGCTTAAAAATGTTTACTCTTCTAGCTCAACTAAACTCTCCCGGAATTCTCATCAATATATGATTTGCCAGAGTTGAAAGAGAAACTTGACTAATAAGATGTTAATGAATGTGCTTACAGTTCTTCTCTCCACTAAACTGTTTCTATTCCATAAACACGAAATCAAAGCACAGCTCCGAGAAGAAAATTAACATGGTAAATAAAAAGAGACTGGAAGTTAGCGTGAGAGCTTTTCCTTTAAACAGTATTTTTTTTTTTTACCCGTGATGTCGTGAAGAAGCATTGTTGTGAGCAGATGCTTCAAAATAAGATTTTTCTGCCTCATCCAATCTGTCTTGAAACATTGTCCACTCTCTCCTGCATCTCTCTCTCACCTGAAAATGCGAATAGAGATACGATTTCAAATAGAGCTACAAACGCAAGAGAATCCTTATCTATAACGCATAATAACAAGGATGAGAAAAAGACTTAAGGGATTTGTTGTATTATTCATATTTGCATCAGTGTTTACCCCTTCCCATGGTTGTTTCCCTTGCTCTGGTTGTCCCTGTCAAGTAATGTACAAAGAATAAAAAGGAAAATTAAAATTCCTGTTTTATGCATTTACATAACAAGCTAATGGAGTCAATATAGAATTACTAGATATCTCTACTGTACGTAATGATTGTGAATTCTCTTATTACATCTGTGTAGGCTTTGAGCTTGATAATGATGACCAACTATATAATTATCACAACTACTCTCTATAGAATCTTCAAAGGGGACTAATTTTTATATGATATATATTCAATAAAGTTCTGTTATATAATTTCCAAAGGCAGTCCACAAAATGGAAAATTTTAGTTTTGTTACTACAAAACAAAGATAAATATGAATTTGAAAACATACTTGATTCCCTAGTGATGGAACACCTTGATGAACTATCCATTGAGCATCTACAACTCCAATTGTCTCGTGTGCGTTCTGTTAAGGCAAGTATAACGAGGATATGAAACAAGTGTAAAGAATCTATGAGGGAGAGCTATTTAGATGTGCGTATAGGTCTATTCAAGGGACGTTAAGTTGCACCTGAACACATTTCCGAACGGCAAAGTCCAGACCCCATCCATGAACCAAATCATTCTGTGGTTGCAATGTAACAATTGGAATTTGCTTAAGACAGTGATTTTGGAGTCACTTAAAGAGCAAATGATAGGAATTTGGTTCTATAACATACCTGAATCATATACCACACACAGCGCCATGCCTTGCGGGAGAAAACAGGAGCCATAATCTCCACAAATCTGATTTTGATTTCAGTAGCAAGAATGATGAGATGAACTATTCACTTTCTATGAAAATCCCTATTGCTAAGTTTATTCATACTGATATAGATAAGTAAAGTAGCATACGCTGCACAAGGGGGTAAATTGGGATCAGTGCACCACCCATTCCTCTCCTCAGCATGCCTGAAACAATATATGAGAGAATATATGGAATAAGTGTTGGCCACTGAGTATGATTAATTGAAGTGGCGGTAAGAAAATAATTTAGAAACTTCAATATATTATTCTTACATGTGGACTTCAGTATCATCTCTTTTCTTTGTCATCTCCCATGTGAGCCCTTCATATGGCTCTAACCCAGGCTGTGAGATTTCCAAACCATGTTTCTTCACCACCGCCAGATATCTGTCAAAGAAATTAATCTTCATACTCTGGAATGGCTATTAAAAGGGAGTCCAAGCTTCAAAAACATACTTTTCCGAATCGAAGTTTTCCACACCAAGATCCTCGTCCCATATGAAGATATATTCATAGGGGGAAACTATGTCAGGATGAAGAAATCGCTTGGCGTACCACCTTCAGAGAAAATTCATAGATTTTTAAAGTAAATCTGTCACTATATAGAAACTCCAACTAGGAGGAAGATTAACGTTCCTGCATAGCAAAGTAGCCACTAACCATTTTGTTTGTTTCCGAATGCTCACATGAATGGCTCGCTTGGACCATTCAAACTCTTCCCAATCGCTGGCCCGGCCATCATAGTGAAACAACATTATAGAGAAGTTATCTGAGAACTGAGAAATGCAATGTCATGGAATGATGAAAAGAAGGAAAGAAGACAGATAAGTATAGGAAGCAGGATACCTTCTTCAACACCGTGTCTATATTTTTCCTCTGATCATAACCAACTGTAAATGCTACTAGATACCTCTGCTTGATTGTTAAATCCTACATGACATACCAACAAAATGAGACATGATTTTTAAAGCCATCGTCCTATAAAAGCCAGTAGATTCAAATTAATGAACCTCATTCGGGTCGCCCCACAATCGACGGAGGTATAAATCTGATTCAGATGTGACTATCCCTGGGGGAAGCCTCTCAGCACCACGGGGATTAGTAGAAACCCATATCTGCAATAGCTCGAAAGTTCTGTCTTCAACTGTTAAACATAAAAAAAAAAAAAAAATTAATAAGCAGTGAAGCAGGGAACCACACCTTCGTATCATTATAGTTATAGGGAGGGTCAGGGATGTCATTCTTGAGTTTAAGGCCTTTCTTTGAAGACCAAGAACCAAATAGTCTTTGTCTGGATATGTCTGAGTATTTATCCTCAATGTATGCAAGATCAATCGAGGGAAACAACGTCGATGGAAGATTCATCTATCCATGTTTAAAATAAGAAGATACAAACCATCAGAGTCTAAGTAATGACATCACTTGGTTTGGCACATTTGGCACCAAGCTGAAGATTTAATCTTTACCTTAGTTAAGGTCAAGGTTGGAAAGGTAATACCCATAAGGAAACCAACGATAACCCCGAAAAAAGATGTTAATAGAAGCCTCATCATTTGACTAGGTCTTCTCATGTTTCAACTGTATTACAAACACTATTTGAAAAGTTACAGGCATACAAACAAAGCACATAGTCCATAGATACTTGACATAATTGGTGAACTACCTAAATATTCATTAAGAAAAGAGCAAAAAAGCACTTACCAGAGTATTATAACTACAAGTTGTTATCTGTTATCTACTGTCTAAGCAGGCATAAAGTCGCGATACAAAGAACTGCAAATTTTCATTCCTTCACTTGCATCACATCTGCACCCTTCGATGCTCCTAACTACAAAGCACACAAATCATGATCTTTGTAAAAGCTTACACTTCATACTGAGAACAATCACAAAATCCTTAACTAATTCACAATAGAATCATAAAATTATATTGCACCATTCCTAGTTTCTTGACAACAATTCCATACATCATGAGTCCAAATCGATCACACCAAAACAACACAATCCAATCTAAACCTAGCGCAATCAAAATTTTGCTTTATCCTTGTCATTACTCAAAAAAATTCAGAATTTCAATTATGCACCTCAAGCTTCTTTTTAGGGTAGAACAACAACGTATAAAACCACTCAAAACATAACCACTAAACAACAATGTAAGATCATGCGATGGTCAGAAATACAAAAATAGAAAAGTGAAAAAAACAAACCAGTTTCGGTCCTGTCTGACTAATTGACGACAACAACACCAAAATTTTCAGAATCCGACAAACACAGAACTCAGAAAGGGTTCGATCACCATTAGTAAACGGATGGTAGCTTCAAAAACGTTTTGGATCTCTTCAAACCCAGAAAAGGTCCACGCTTTATCGAAATTACTGCAGGAAACGGCAAAATCGGGCAGCTCAGAGAACTTTTTGTAACTCTCTTTCTTAGACGATAATAATTGTCTCTTGTGAACGAACAAGTTGAGTTATTTTAAGAAAAAGGCCCATTAAAGGCCTATATTAGTTAAATTGGGCTTTTCAGTCATATACACGTGGCAGAAGGAGTTAAGGAAGTTTTATAAACACACTCTTAAGCTAACCACATGGCAGCTAAAACAGATAAAATTATGATAATCACTTTCTATCACTATGGATAGAAAATAATATTCAACTTATGTCTTTACCTATTCTATTTTTTTTCTAGTATAGAGTCAAAACAAATTTAAGAATATACAGTAATAATTTTAACAAGGTATTAATTGTTTGACTCCAAGTTATGATATTTAAAAAAATTAAAATTCTCCTTAAAAGAATAAAAGCTTTTGATTAGTAAGTAAATCTAGTGGAAACAAATTTACTTATTATTTCCATTTTTAACTTAATCCTTCTTGTACTGGGAATGCATAGAAGAATATGCTTGTAAAAACTTTCCTTTTCTGTAAAACGACGTCGTAGGATACTTGATCGCCCAATCACAAATCAACAAAACAAAACAAAATTGCGATTTTGAATTTTATTAAATCAAAAACCAAAATAAAACTGAGATCTTTTCTGAGATTTTCTCTCTTCCTATGTTTGAAGTTTGAACATAAAAACAGTTTTTTTTTTTTTTTTTTTTGAAGTTTCCAGCAGAAAAATAAAAATTAAAGCTTTAACTGATTGGAATTTTTAAATTTGTCTTTTTTATTTGGTGGGGTGTTTTTTTTCGGGATTATTGTTAGCAGGACGATGTCGTCGTCGCCGGACATTGCCGGAATCTTGGATAATACGAAGGAGCTTGATCGGTTAAGGAAAGAACAAGAAGAAGTTCTTGTTGAGATCAATAAGATGCATAAGAAGCTTCAAGCTAGTGAGTGTTTCCCTTTTGAGCCTAAAGTTTTGGTTTTTTTGAACTTTACTACTATCCAATTTTTGTGATGAAGCTTTTTGATCTTCTTCTCTTAGTCATCTGTGATTTTTTTCAAATTGGTAGTTTTGATAATTTGGGTTTGGATCTTGAAGTAATTAGATAGGAAAAAATCTTTAGTAGATTACATTGATTTGAATTAGATGCTAATAAGTTTGAATTTTGAATTCAACTATCTTCAAGAGGACCAATTAAGAGACTTTAGTTGTTGTTGGAGGTTTTGTTGTAATGTAGAGATTGGTATGTTGCTTGGATTGTGGAAAATAAGATGAGGATTAAGCCAATTTATTATTTTTCCTTCTGGCATTTGTTCTTGTGGATCTCTAGTTTGTTTATGAATTTGAAAATTTCTTGATTAAGCTCTGAATTCGTAATTAGAAAGAATCGTTGTAGCGGATCGGATTTACTATTGTGGAAACAAACTAATGATGAAGCATTTTTCGCGCAACATTAGCTCGTTTTGAGGAGTAGAACCATATTGAATGAAGCTTATTTCAGCTGGAAATGGTTTGAAGTTAATGTGACTGTATGACTGATATTTGCTTTCGATATCTACTTGGTGAGTTATCTGGCTGACTCGTGTATTGAAAATGCAGCGCCGGAGATAGTTGAGAAGCCTGGTGATACTTCATTGTCAAAGCTTAAAAATTTGTACATTCAAGCAAAAGAGCTTTCAGAAAGTGAAGTAACGTAAGCCAGACTTCCTCATTGTATCCTTTCAGTTGTTACATCAGCTTTGAATGGTTTAGAGAGAGATAATTCAACTAAATGACACAATTTTTTGTCTGCAAAAAAAAAAACAAATCTCTAAAGCCTTTGTGCTTTAATGTAGCGTTTCAAACATTCTGCTCAGTCAGTTGGATTCTCTGCTTCCATCTGGACCAACTGGGCAACAACGCAGAAAATTAGGTATACTTCGAATCTTCGATTACTGTTTAGACTTTAGACCCATCTTTGAATATTTCAGGCTAGTCCTGTTTTGTTTACTCTTTGGTCATCATTGTTCTTGTGAGAAAGAGAAGACTTGATACTTGTTTGTGTCTCAAACCTCCAATGGTTTGATATTTATATATAAGAGGGATTAAGCTTTTCCGATGCTTGTAATGATATCACATAAGTGGCAGAAGGCAACGAACAGAAGAGAAAGAGAATGAAAGTAGATTCAGATGTAAGAGTTTCTCCCTCCATGAGAAATCAAATCGAGGCATATGCCAGTCTAAAGGGTGAACAGGTAATAACAACAGCTATTTTCTTTCTTTGAGTTGAATTACTTGTTTCCTTTTACAAAAATGAACAAATGTTGGGACATCTGTTTTATGTAGGTTGCTGCAAGAGTCACAGCTGAGGATGCCGAAAAAGACGAATGGTTTGTGGTGAAAGTTATTCACTTTGACAGAGAGACAAAAGAGTAAGCTTGAACCCTTTTAATAAGAATCCCACATTAGTTAGGAGAGCGAACAATCATCGTTATCAAGCAGTTGTGTGTATATCTGTGCTAAAGGAGAGATTTTGAGAAATTTTTATAGCCATGTATTTAAATGTGGATTAAACCAGTAGATAGTCGTTGTGACCCAATTAAGGTATATATATTACGTTGCAATAGATTCATATATGGGACTTAACCGTTTCCAAATTTTCTTTATAGAGTTGAAGTACTTGATGAAGAGCCAGGAGATGATGAAGAAGGAGGTGGCCAGAGGTAACTCAGAGCTTTTAGTGAAAACTCATAAACTTTTGCAATGACATTGACTCATTGAGTAACTTTATGATTATTCTCTGGAAATTTGTAGGACGTATAAACTATCAATGTCATGTATTCTACCGTTTCCAAAACGGAATGATCCTTCAACTACACAAGAGTTTATACCAGGGAAACATGTCTTAGCTGTATATCCTGGAACCACAGCCCTCTACAAGGCAACTGTAATAAGTACCCCAAGAAAGGTTAGCTTTTTTCCTGCACCATTTCAAACTCGTTTCAACAATGTATAAGAAACCAATAAGAACTAACCTCTAGTTATCTAAACCCCATGTTGCTCATCTGTTTCCAGAGGAAGTCTGATGAGTAAGTTCCTCCACATCTTTGTTCATCAACTTGTTATAAGCATATATGGCTACGATTTAAGAATCCCAAGTGCTTAAATCTGATACTTTCTGATTCATACTAGGTACTTGCTAGAATTCGATGACGATGAAGAAGACGGAGCATTACCTCAAAGAACAGTGCCATTCCACAAAGTGGTAGCTTTACCAGAAGGCCATCGCCAGTGATTTCAGATGGATACAACAAAAATAAGAGACTAACTATTTGGGGCCAAAGCATAAATTAAGAGCTGTTTGTCTTTGTTTGTGTTCAAATGGGATGATTTTGAAGAATAAAAAGGTATTTTTTCTCTCTTACTGTTCTATTTGTGGTAAAGCTACTCTAGTTAAATGTAACATTTGAATGTGTAAATATGTATGGAACCGTGGGTAATGTATGTATCATATTAAGACACAATTTTTAAATCTACAACATTTTGTTTGTATGATTACAAGTTTATGTGATATAGATGAAAACTGTTGATTTTACAAGCACTACTTATCGTTTCTTAGTACTAAACTAGCAGTCTCGACTTGTCTTAGTTAAATTCTGCATTTGGCGATTTACCGAACTTTCTAGAAACGGAATATGTATCCGCCTTCTAAATAAAGCTTGCAGCCTCGACTTGGCTTGATTAAATTCTGCGTCTGCAGTTTACCAAAACCTTCTATAAAGAAATCATGTACATTCGCCTTTTTACTTAACTTTCCATAAACGAACTCCGCATCTAAAGTTAGCAGAACATTCCTCGACGATTCATGTATACGCGGTTAGTCTACTTTGTTCCCCGTAAGACTCACATTTACGATCTAAAACTGATAGACATATATTATTTCCCTTATATGAAACAGTTGTCCAAACATACGTTTTCTCCTTGGAATCTCTAAATTGCGGTTTTCAACCTTTCTTTAAACTAATCCCGAGCCACAAACGGTTACTTTTCATGTGTCCTTAGTGTTTATCCGCTCACCTAAGGAAGCGAATCATCCCAACTAGCATCAATAATCCATGGTTAAGTTCTTCCATACTAGCTGAAAGGTTTAAATGGGTAAGAGAGGCGAAAAGTAGAGTGGACTGGTAACTAAAAAACGGTAACATATGGATCTTATGGTTAGTTTTGTCTTAACAGAACACAACTTGGACGCTAGGGTTTTTGCTCCACGGCTTGGCTTGGCTTGCCAGTTTTGTTCTGTCGTCGCCAATTGCTACTTCTGCTTTAACTGGTAAACAAACTCATCTTCCTCAAGTAAGATATTTTGTAAAATTTTGTAGCAATTGTGACAATTGTTTGTTTTGTAGCAACTTGCCAATTTTAATCTCCAAAAGATGCAGAACGAAGAGGGTCAAGTCACTGAGCTTTACATTCCAAGAAAATGGTAAGATTGAAAAAGAACAAAACTTTTTTTTTTATAGTAAGGAATCTTAATGATTGTTAATCTGAGAATCGTTCTTGAATTATAATTGTAGTTCAGCTACTAACAGGTTGATCACATCAAAGGATCATGCTTCTGTGCAGCTCAACATTGGTCATCTCGATGCTGATGGAATCTACACTGGTCAATTCTCTACCTTTGCTCTCTGTGGTTTTGTCCGTGCTTAGGTTTGTAAAGTCAGCTTCTTGATCATTAATCTTATTATGTACAGAAACTTGTCTAACTTTAAAATTGGTTCTGGATCATTGTGTTTGAGCAGAACTGATCATGTAATGTTTTTTTGTTTCTACTTGACATTGTTAGCACTTTCTTGAAACGATGTAGGGTGATGCTGACAGTGGAGTAGACAAGCTATGGCAGAAGAAGAAGGTTGAAGCCAAACAACAGTAAGACCTTAGAAGCTTGTTTTCTGGTTTCTAGGTTTTTTTGGAAATCTAGATGTGAACTTGTATCTGGTTTTTTATATTTCTTGTTCCTGCAAAGATAAATTTGGTTTGAAAGATGATGGAATGAAATGTTTGGTTCTTGTTAACCCGAAATCCGCAATGAAACGACAGTAATCTGCTATTTTTCTATACAGATTCAAGTCATATCAATGACAATAATAGTATTGAAGTTATCAACATATACTAATACATAAGACTGGAGATTAGTCTACCAAAAAATATAGAAAGAATGTGTTTCAATGTAATGTTATGCATACTGGATAGAGTATTTTAGAGAAATAGGATAAATATTAGCAAAATAGGAGAATCAAGATGGGATGAATCAGAAGGTTATTCAAGTTTTGTATGATGATATAATGGTATGGCTTTGTTGGTTACCAAGTAACTTAATCTGTATATAAGGGCACATCCTTTTTAGCTTCTTAACTTGAGATCTGCAGTCAAGCTTGTTGCTTTTGAATTAATGTTGTTTGTACCAAAGTAACGGTCTGCGAATTCTCCCATGCCTGGTATCACACGCGAGTCCGCATTAAGAGATGCATCGATTTCTGAAGTCACAAGCTTTACCATCGGGAATTTCTTGCAGAGCTCGTGGATACCTTGAGGTGCCTGTGGTTTTTTTTCTTGTGTTAGTTTATAAATACTGATGAGTTAAAGCTTTAGAAAAACATTGACATGAGGTTTCTTTGGTTGGTCTTTACTGCTATAAGATTGAGAAAGATGATATTTGATTCTGGAACTCCCTTGCTTAGAAGCAAAGTTATAGCTTTCACAGCAGAGTATCCTGTTAGTAAATTTAGAAGGTTAGACATTTCTGCAACAACTGACCAGAAAAATTGTAACCTTTGTCTAGCTTTTTATGTGGGTTATAATGAACCTGAAGCTAGAACAGGGTCAAGGAGAAAGACATGTCTGCTTGAGATATCTTTCGGCAACTTCTCATATATTAACTGCAAGAAACATCATTTGAATGAGCAGTTGTTTAGCTGAGATGTATGGGGAAACATATTAATGGAATCAGACCTGACGACCATCGTTATTCTCTCTGTGAATGAGGATTTTACCAATCTTAATTCCATTGCAGCAAGCTCTTAGTGCATTTTCCATACTTTCTCCACTGTAAATACCGAAAACATAAACCTACGAAAGCAGAAGCACAAATCTGAAAACTAAGCTTTGTATTAGATACCTTCTGATCACTGAGACACCACACAATCTCTTGCAGAAGTCAACTCCAGTGTACACTGACCCTGTTAAGTTTAAGGAGATGGAAACTTGAGTGACATTTGATATTTACCTTAACTCCAACATATTAGTGGCTTAGTTACCTGTTGGAGTAGTGATCTGTTTCTCTGTGAAAGGAAGATGACCAAGTCCATGTTCCACGACCTGAAACAAACATATACAAAATCCAGGCTTATTTTTTATCCTTCTAAGAAACCTATGGCTAGAAATTGAATGTTCTGACTAGAGGCTTTTTACCAGTCGAATCAACCGGTCAGCGTAGAAGACGAAATCATGCTTGGTTGTGTTGACATCGCGGATAAGAGTATGCATTCCTTTGATCTGGAATGTAGAAGATATGATGAAGATGTTGGAGTATATCTTACAGAGATTGTGTTGGCACAGCTTTGTACGAATATGTTGTACAATAAGGTCAATTGCAACATCATTGTCTCCTCCTCTAGGAATGATTATATCAGCATACTTCATCGATGGCTGGATGAATTCATCGAAACTCGGCTTCACAAACTTGGTATACTGAAACAAAAAGTGATGGTCTGATGAAGTAAAAACAAGAAAAACACATTATATCTTACATCAAAACAGTCTATCACTGAACCTGCTCAAGCACGTTTTGGATGTTTCTTCCTCTCTCAACGGTGTCACGCTGTATTCTTCTCGATAGCCGAACATCAGCATCTGCATTTGGTGTGTTGGATATGAGTATATAAGAAGGCCTTGAATGATTCATCTAAAAGCCGAGGAAATTACAAACCTGTATCAACAAAGATCTTCATGTTCATGAGATCACGAACTCTAGGATCATTAAGAACCAAGATTCCCTCTAAGATGATTACATCACCAGGATTAACAGGACTAGGTGATTCAACGCTCTGATGGATTTTGAAATCGTAACTCGGAATGTTCACCGGTTGGCCTGATCTTAATTTCTCCATACACGAAAGCAAAACCTCGGTATTGAACGCAGCTGTATGTGCAGTTTTGAATCAAATCAAAAAAAAAAACAAGAAACAAATACTAATCGTCCTTAGATCAATCACTCACCAGGATGATCAAAGTTGTATTCATGGACCTTTTTCAATTTCTCCTCACTAAGGGAATGATAAAACGAATCCTACAAATCAAATCTGTCACACAACTGTTTTGTACGGTTTGATTAAAAAAAATCAAAACAGAGTATTGAGTAAATAGATTACTTGGTTCACAAGCACAACACGTTGATCGTGTAACTGAGACATGATCATGTTACACACCGTTGTCTTACCGGAGGCGGTTCCTCCGGCAACACCTGAATTAAGACAGATCGAATAATAAACCAAACGAAATCTCAAAGAGAAATTGAAAAAGATAAAATCGTGTACCGATCACGAAAGGCTGTTTAAGAGGAGCAGGAGTAGCTGAAGGAGAAACATTGTTGTCACTGATCAAAGAGTGATCTCTTACGCCATTAGGTAATTTCTCCATCGTCTTCTTCCTTCAACCTTACGTTATAGTCAGAAAAATCAAAGAAGAACAAATCTGAAGATATATAAGAAAAAGATTAGAGTCGGTCTTTTTGGTAATGTCTTAAATGGATTAAATTGAAGACACTACTGTTTGCGTATCTTTGTTTCCTATATATGTAAGTGTTTGTATTGGCTCGTGATGAGATATTAGTGGGAACAAAAACACGTCATCCCAAGTTTAATCATTAATATCCAAATTATTTTGTAAATGACATATTAAATATATTTCCTAATAAAATTTTATGGAGTGCAATCAAAATCATTTTTTTAAATGAAATTTTTTTTTATAGAAATAGGGTAATTTTGCAAATTCTCCAAGATTATTTTGTTTTTAATTCATTTATATTTTCTTTAATTAAAATTATATTCTTCGACTTAATTCTAACGATTTGATCTTCTTTTTTTTTTTTTTTTTTTTGGTGATTATGATTTCATCTTTCTAGTATTGATAATTTGATATTTCATTTCCAATCTAGTATAAACTAGAAAGATGCATACCCACCAAAAAAGAGAGATGGTATTAAAGTTACTAAAAATCTTACATCGTCTGGTCCGAGGGAAGGTTTAGTCTTTACAAATTCGAAAAAACCGTAGCTCACTCTTATTCTAAATGAAAGGAAACGCTCGGTTGATCAAGAAAAAACAAAGATTATTGCATTTAAGAGTAACTGAATAAGGTGTGATATGTGAAAACATGTCCAACTGATCTAAGCCACCTTATCATCAAATCCGAACCCAAGCAAAAGAATTCAATGGCCAAAAGTCAAACCAGTGCCTACAAAATGAAAGTACTGAAGATCACACATGAAGACTATAACTGATTTCCAAATCTCTTGGAGCAGTAAGCTTAAGAATAACGAAAAAATGATTAGCAACCACAAATTAATCACAGTTAGGTATGTCAATCAGGCTACTCCGGCCCCACCCTGTCAAAACCCGTAAAACCCTCATATATTTGAGTCCCGCCCGGTCCGAAAAATATTCGAGCCTATATTTCAAAGTCCGGCCCTAACAGGGCTACAAAGCTTTTTGGGACTTTACTTACCGATCAACTTCTAAGTTCATATTAGTTTTTAAGAACAATATTTAAAGGTATACTATAAAAATAACTATAAAAATAATGCATCAAAATTTAAATAACTTATCAATATTCATTAAAACTAACTTGATTTAAGAGAAAAAATGAAAACCAGATAAATTAGTTACACTTTAACCCAATAAAACATGGAACTAAAATACTTTAAAGTAGATGATAGAGTCCAAATTTAAAATACTTCGATTATTTCAAAATCAAGATACTTATATATATTTAGTTTTAGCTTTGTTCAGTTGTGACATATATAAATAATAGAAAATATCATAGATAAAGATTTTAAAAGTATTAAGTAAAGCTAGTAAGTAAATATGAAAACTAATTCATTAATCAAATCTTCTAATCGAACTAAAATATAAAAAAAAATCAAAATATATTTGTTTAAGGGTTTTTCGGGTTTGTCCGAGTCCAACCGGGTTAAGCCCAAAAACCCTTTAATCCGAATGGGCTAAGCCTAAAAAGCCCGGTTTTTTCTGGACATATATATATTTAAGTCCGAGCCCGATGTTTTTCAGGGCCGGGCCAGACTAGCCCGTGGGCTTTAGCCCTAATTGACATGTGTTAAGCTCATATTAGCTAAACATGTAAACATTGAAATATAGAACCTCAGGCTAACCTTCTCACAAGTTTCGGAAGTTAAGTTCCAATTCATCCAAACGTTTTATTACTTTTCTATCTCAGGTTCCTTCATATTTATCACTGTGACATGACGGATCAATAAGAAAGATAAAACCTCGAATTTTCGCAATTGAAAACAGTAGTATATACCTTGCCACCATAATCCCCATTCTATCTCTATTGAAAATCTTCAACAATATCACTACACTTAAAGTACCATCCAACAAGTGAGCTTGCAGTAGCTGAACACCACAACATATTAACCCTTTGATGCTAAACATTGAACCAATGATAAGTGAAACCACAAGCTAACCTTCTCATCAATCCCCATTCCATCTCTAACTAAAATCTCCACTCCGCTTATAATACCATCCAACAAGTGAACTCTTCTGACACCACCCTCCAAAAAATAATGAATAAGAAAGTTTGGGGGTAAATAAAACAGGGCAACATGGTAAGCTCAAGGACTTACCCTGCAGACGAACCCACCTGCAGCCAGTTCAGAGAGATATCCTTTAAAGCGGCTAAGTCTCCCCTTGCCGCCAATAGCAAAAACTAATATCCTGCACACTGATTTCACTTTGGACACAAAAATTTAAATGTAAAGCAGAGCAAGTTGTAGATGAATCAATAAGATCAATGTACAATCAATAAGATAATACCTGACACTATATATTCCTTTCGATGTAGGCTTGTTTTGCGCTAATGCATTGGAAGGAGAAATATGAACCGTGATATCACAATTCTACGAGTTTTGTTTTCTGATCGTGAAGGTTTTGTTTTGAGTGTTGTGTTTGCGTGTTTTTGTTTTGCCTATTTGAATTATGTTCTCTGCTCGTGGGGTTTTTGTGTGTTGAGGGTTTGTATTGTATTTACTCGTGCATGTAAAGTTTTTGATATGACTGTTGCTGTTTGTTGTTTTTTTGTTTGTTTGATTCGTGGTGTTTTAGTGTACTTTGTATTTTCCATGAGAATTATGTATGAAGTTAGAGATTTGAGAAATGAGAGCAAATACTTCACTTTGAGCGGTTTGTAGTTCAAAGATCCTCTTCTCTTGATTTCACCCAGCAGTAGTTCTGAGAAGAGAAAATGAGACTCAATTAAGACCGCTGCTGCAAAACCTCAAACTAATCACAAAAATAACTCATTGAAAATTTTAAGGAGAGTACTAATCCGGGAGAAGCTTTGGTCGCTACTGCAAATACCTGCAATTTAAGTTCAATTATTTGGAGAGAATCAATATTGTATACATGATAGATTTCATAGATACGAGATCAGCATGAGGATAACTGGTGAAAGAACCACGTATACGATAAAAGAACAACGTAAGTTCAAATATCTGCAGAGAATCAATATTGAGTTTCAAGCAACTCAACCAACAATATAAATAGCCAATAGTGAGAACCAAAAACATTTAGATGCTTCCTATTGTTAGATGGGTATAGCAAGAGTAGAGTAGAGTAGAAAATAGGAAACCTTTTTCTGATATACATCCATGGGTACAACTTATTGTGATTTGGCAAAAGTAATATGTTAGGTAGTACATACCTCCAAAATATATCAGAGAAAAATGTCGAAGCTAGTTAAGAACTCCAACCATAGCTTGCAAAGCCAATTTGTCCTAGACTTCGGTTAAATCACAGAGATAATCAATAGCATTAACATGATAGAGCTCGTAGATGCCAGAACATGAAAAGTTTGTACAACAAAAAAGGTTAAAAATTAAAAGATAGATAACTTTGTTCTGGTGCTTAATGAAATATAGACAAAGAAGATCAAGGAGTAAGGCCGACAACTGGATATAATTCCCTGCATAACAACAACAACATTAGTGCTGCTGTAAATGTATTGAAGTGAAGACTATTATACACACCTAATTATCTAACAGTGTAGAGAAAGAATGTAAGAGTGGAGGTAAAGATATGGTAAATGGCAGTTAAGAATCTGCTTGTTAATCTAGTACCTGCAGATTATAAACTCAATCTGTTGGGTTATTCTGGTTTTGTGCACATCTTGTCTCAAAGTTTATGTCATAGTTTGATTCTATGTGTTCCTATCAAGGTAAAAAATTTGAAATAAAAACATTAAAAGCAATCACAAATCAATCCAAAGCTCGCAGTAGCTTAACAAAAAATCCAATTAGCCCTTTGATGCTATACGTAAACAATGAAAAGTGGAAACTCACACTAGTCTTTTCACCAGTTTGAAACTTAAATTCCAAATTAACTAAGAGGTTTTGTTATTTTTCTAATTCCAGTAAGTCTTCCTCTTTGGACTCTCAGGTTCCTTCATATATTTCACTGTGACATGACAGATCAATAGCTTGTTTGGCAAAAATGCAATCACAAAGCAATCACAAATCAATCACAAATCAATCACAAACCAATCCAATACAAACATAGCTTGATTTGCAAAAATGCATTGGAAGGAGAAATATGAACCTTGATAATTCTACGATTTTTTTGTTTTCTGATCGTGAAGGTTTTGTTTTGAGTGCTGTGTTTGCGTGTTTTTGTTTTGCCTATTTGAATTCTGTTCTGTGCACGTGAGGTTTTTGTGTTTGAGGTTTGTATTTACTCGTGCATGGAAAGTTTTTGTTATGACTGTTGGAGTTGGTTGTCTTATTGTTTGTTTGGTTCATGGTGTTTTCTTTTACCTATTTGAATTACGTGAAGTGTATGTGTTTGAAGTTTGTATTGTATTTAGTTTTGTTGTGTTTTAGTGTACTTGTAATTTCCGTGGGACTTTTGTTTGAACTTAAGAGATTTGAGAAATGAGAGAAAGTACTTCACTTGAGCCCTTCTCTTGATTTCACCCAACAATAGTTCTGAGAAAAGAAAATGAGACTCGATTAAGAACATACAAAACCTCAAAATCATCAGAAAAATAACTCATTGAAAATCTTACGGAGTACTAATCCGAGAGAAGATTTGGCCGCAGCTGCAAAATACCCTGTATCATCTAAGCAAATTAAGTTCAATTATCAGCAGAGAACCAATGTCGCTGCGCACAAAATATCACTTATAATGAAATGAATTAAGCAAGTGAAGCAAGCCTGAGTATGATGAGTAGTAGATTCTAGAAAAGCTTACTTTGCCTCTGCTTGTAAAGCTTGCTGATGAAAGAGAGAGAGAGAGGGAGAGTGAGAGAGTTATATCACTTCCCCATTTCAAGCCATCTTTGTTTAATCTTTTCTATGAAATCGCCTCCCCACTTTTTTTTTGCTCCTCAAAGATCCATTCTCTTGATTGCAACTAGCAATACATCAAATACATCAGTGGTGATCAGTAAGACCGACAACTGGATATAATTTCCTGCATGAAAACAACAACAACATCAGTGATGTTGTAAATGTATTGAAGTGGCTACTATTATACACACCTAATTATCTAACAGTGTGGAGAAAAAAATGTAAGAGTAGAGATAAAGATATTGTAGATAGTAGTTAAGAATCTGATGCATTATTCTGTTTTTGTAAACACCTTGTCTAAATAAGTTTATGTCATAGTTTGATTCTATGCGCTCCTGCCAAGGTAAAATTCAAAAATAAAAACATTAAAAGCAAACTTTAAACATGACGTTTTAATAGTGTTACTATGACAACTACAACTATAAGATTATACAAATATAAAGCTATTACTAAATCTTACAGAGAGTATATGGATATGCTATATTGAGAACTTCAGCAATGTTGAATGCAACACCAACGCCTACACTAAGCATATTGAATTAGACAATGTAACATGTGAAAACAGAACAATAGATTTAAGGCATTATTTTACAAAACAGAAATATTTTGGTATCTGACCTGATGTGATCAAAATAATACCCGGCATTCGTATATTCCTTTTGCTTACGGTTTCCCTACCGCATGTTGCAAAGGCATTGAAATGTTCGAACAACTGAAATCCTGTTTTTTCCCGTCTTGCCTTGGGTATTAGCTTGATTGGAGCCTCTTGAAACCCATGTCTCACAAAATCAGTCTGCAGTACTCGTTGCCACCAGAATAAAGCATCTCAATTTCAAGACCTGACGCTTTCTTCTCAATGTAGTCTGCAAAACTTCAGTCACGAAACGGGTTTTCTCTTAACTTAAGATTTGAAAACACAAAAATCTTGTGACTTTACCGAGTAATTTACCTTCCTGACATTGTACACTACAATCTGACGGAATTACGAGTACTACAACTTCTCCACATTTTTTTTCAAAGAAAGGGAACAAAGCCCCACAAGTTATTATAAGTCCTTGCCTTTCTGCAACCACAGACAAATCCAAAGCTCACAGTAGCTGAACACCAAAATTGATTAGCCCTTTATGCTAAACAGTAAAAAAATGAAAAATGGAACCTAAGTCCTTATAACTAACCTTCTCACCAGTTACGGAACTTAAGTTCCAAATTTATCCGCCTCTCGGGTTCCTTCATACATCAATGTGACATGATGGGTCAATAGCTTTTGTAAGAAAGATCAAACTTTGAATGTTTGCAACTGAAAAAAAGTAGTATATATACATTGCTACCATAATCCCCATTCCATCTCTATTGAAAATCTCCAACAAGTGAAGTCTTCTGACACCACCCTTCAAAACATTAACGAATAAGAAACTTTGGGAGTAAACAAAACAGAGCAACATGGCAAGGACTAACCCTGCAGACAAACGATGTTGCAGCCACTTTAGAGAGATACCCATTCAAGCGGCTAAGTCTCTCCTTACCGCCAATAGCAAAACCTAATGTTCTGCAAATATGTCAAAATAATTTCACTTTCAAAAAGTGAAATTTAAAGCAGATTCATCGTAAGTTTGCTTCCTCTCAATCTTTAAAAGAACATTCAAGTCCAGAGATAAAGGCTACGTAGTTGCTAATGAATCAATATGAAATCAATAAGACGTATTTCACTGAAGAAGTCTTAAAGGATCACTGGAAGACAATAACAGTTAAGCTTGACAATTTAACATGAGAAAGCAGAACGTCGAGTTTGGTATATGACCTCTGATGGTCAAGATAATACCTGACACTCATATATTCCATTTATTGTATGCTTCCTTATAGCCAGTCATCTGCAATGCTTTGTTTCCAAACACTACAATTCTAAACACATAGCTTAGTTTAATGCTTCGGATGGGAAAATATAAACATTTACACCACAATTCTACGAGTTTTGTTATCTGATCTTGAAGTTTATGTTTAGAGTGTTTTGTTTGTGTATTTTTGTTTTTCTTATTTAAATTTTGTTTTCTGATCGTGAAGGTTTTGTTTTGAGTGTTGTGTTTGCGTGTTTTTGTTTTGCCTATTTGAATTCTGTTCTCTACACGTGAGGTTTTTGTGTTTGAGGTTTGTATTGTATTTACTCGTGCATGTAAAGGTTTTGTTATGATTGTTGGAGTTTGCTGTTTTTTTTTTTTTTTTTCGTTCGTGGTGTTTTAGTGTTCTTTGTATTTTCCGTGGGACTAATTATGTATTAAGTAGAGATTTGAGAAATGAGATAAAGAAATTTACTTGAGCCCTTCTTTGTTTTCTGACAACAGAGTCGTTTGCAGTTCAAATATCCTCTTCTCTATATTTCACCCAGCAATAGTTCTGAGAAGAGAAAATGAGACTCGATTTAGACCACTGCTGCAAAACCTCAAACTAACTAGAGAAAAATAACTGATTTAAAATCTTAAGTACCATCATATATATATATATAGCTATACCCTGAATTGCGAGAGAAGTTTTGGCCGCTGCTGCAATCATTTAAGCAATTTAAGTTCAATTATCTGCAAAATCTTAGATACGAGATCAGCATAAGGATAACTGAACCAGTAATTGAAAAGGTAAAACGAATCACGTATAAGATAGACAACCATATTAATCTGGTGCACAACCATAGAGAATAAACTCTTGCAAAGAAGATCACAGTTTGGGAAGATCATAGAGAATAAACTCTTGCAAAGAAGATCATAGATAAATCCCTGCATTGACCAAAGAGATAGTGTTGCAAAGTTGAGGAGCATTGCTATTAGTTTCCCAGGATAGAGAAAAAATGTAACAGAGAATAATAATTACAAATCTATACTCAAGCTGCTACATTGTTCTGGCCTTGTGTACACCATTTTTGCAACAAGTTTATGCTCATCTTTATTTGTATGAGCTTCTGCCAAAGTAATATAAGAAAATAAAAACTTTGAACCAAATATTGAAACATGAAGTTTCGAACAATCTCACCATCATAATGACGACCTAGAACAAGAAAATTATACAAAATATAAATGTCTTAGAAGGGTACAATGCAGGATTCACATCACGTGGCAAAAATCCCTAACGAACTTTTTTAAAAACCGCAGCTCTCTCTTGAATCTACATGAAAGAAATTTCTCAGTTGTTCAAACAAAACATGTTATATGTAAAAACATACCGTGTGTGTGAAGTATTATATCTGAAAACATGTTATCATCGTATTCGAACCCAAGAAAAAGAGTGCACTGGCCAAAAGCCAAACCAGTTCCTACAAATAAAAAAGAACACACATGAAGAAAATAACTGATTTCCAAATCACTTAGAGTATGTAAGCTTGAAATTAAAGAAAATAAATTCCCCTTGATGCAAACTCTAAGAATTTAATTGAATAGGCAAAGTTTGACATGATTAGACATAGATAATTTTCCATCAAATAGAGTGATCAGTAGCACCTAAACGTTTCCCAAAATCATTTCACTTTAGCTTACGAGATGAATATAGAAATCAGATACCTTCAGAAGATAATAGAAATCAGCACTCCAAGACCAGCAAAGCATTATATGTGCTCCTGCTAAGGTAAAATTCGAAAATAAAAACATTAAAAGAATCTGACAACTACAACTATAAGATTATACAAATATAAACGTAATATTACAGAGAGTATTTGGATATGCTGTATGGAGAAGTTCTGCAATGTTGAATGCCATACTAAACAGAAGGAATTAGACAATGTAACGTGTGAAAACAGAATGTAGAATTAAGGCATAATTTTAGTGGGTGTAAATAAAACAGAGCAACAAGGTAAGCTCAAGGACTTACGCTGCAGACAAACACTGCTGCAGCCAGTTCAGGGAGATACCCTTTAGAGCAGCTAAGTCTCCCCTCACCGTCAATAGCAAAAACTAATATCCTGCACACATGTCAAACTGATTTCACTTTGGACACAAAAACTAAAATTTAAAGCAGCTTGATCATAACTTAGCTTCCTCTCAATCTTTAATAGATAAAGCTATGTAGTTGCAGATGAATCAATAAGATCAATGTACAATAAGATAATACCTGACACTCTATATTCCTTTCGCTGTAGGCTTGTTTTGCACTAATGCTTTGGAAGGAGAAATATGAACCTTGACATCACAATTCTACAAATTTTGTTTTTCTGATCGTGAAGGTTTTGTTTTGAGTGTTGTGTTTGCGTCTTTTTGTTTTGCCTATTTGAAATTCTGTTCTCTACACGTGAGGTTTTTGTGTTTGAGGTATGTGAAGTTATTGTTATGACTGTTGGATTTTGGTGTTTTTTGTTTGTCTAGTTGGTATACGTGTGTTGTTTTCTTTTGCCTATTTGAATAATGTTCTCTACGTGAAGTGTATGTGTTTGAAGTTTGTATTGTATTTAGTTTCGTGGTGTTTTAGTGTTCTTGTAGTTTCCGTGGGACTAATTATGTATGAAGTTAGAGATCTGAGAAATGAGAGAAAGTACTTTACTTGGGCCCTTCTTTGTTTTCTGACTACAGAATCGTTTGCAGTTCAAAGATCCCCTTCTCTTGATTTCACCCATCAATAGTTCTACGAAGAGAAAATGAGACTCGATTAAGACCGATGCTGCAAAACCTCAAACTAATCAGAAAAATAACTCATTGAAAATCTTACGGAGTGTACTAATCCGGGAGAATCTTTGGCCTCTGCTGCAAAATACCTGCAATTTAAGTTCAATTATCTGCAGAGCATCAATTTGTATACGTTAATAGATTTCATAGATACGAGATCAGCATGAGGATAACTGAACTAAAATAAGTAATCGAAAGGTAAAAGAACAACGTATAAGATAAACCTGTGCACAGCCATGGAGAATGAACTCTTGCAGAGAAGATCAGAGTGTAAGATAAACCACAGTTTTGGTTGATATAATTCCCTGCAAGATCAGTGTTGCAAAAGTGAGGACCATTGTACCTATTAGTTTCCCAGGGCAGAGAAAAAATGTAACAGAGATAAGTAGTTACGAACCTAAATGTCGATCTAGTACCTACAAACACTTAACTCAAGCCGCTACACTGTTCTGCCTTATGTAGTCAGTTCAGAGAGAGATGTTCTTGAACTCCTCAATCCGAATTGGTTTAAGCAGATAATCACAGGCACTGTGCTTGACTCCTTCCATCACATACTTTGGATCGGTATGTGCAGATAATTACACTACAAGAATCACTCATCATGTCAAAGATCAGAGCTTTCTCTTGGAAATATGAAAAGCTCAATAGAATCAAACAGAACTACACATAGAGAATCAAGTTTAACATGATTACACATAGAGAATTTTCCATCAAATAGAGTGATGATCAGTAGCACCTAAACGTTACCTAAAATCATGTCACTTTAGCTAACGAGATGAATATAGAAATCAGATACCTTCAGAAGATGTAGATACAACTTTTACCTGTAACGTTCATATATGTCAGAGAGCATACGAAAATAGTTCGATTCACAGAACCTCGATTAGGTACACATCCATGACAATTGAACTCTCCAAAAGAAGATCTGCAAAATAGCAAACACGATCATTGTTCCTGCAACTAAAAACCATGACCGATCTTCACCAATCTTCCCGATAACATAATTGGTTCTATAAATTAAACCTGATTTCAATCGAACAAAGATAAACCCTAAATTAGAAAGCGTTGCTCTAAGTTTTATCAATCCACGATTCGCAAGGGTTCTAACGCGTAACCCAACAAAAATTATAAATCATATACAAAGTTAAACCCTAACTAGAAAGCGTTGCTCTAAGTAATCATCACAAATTCAAAATCGATCAATTCAATTTCAAAAATCGATCATCTGGTCTGATTTTAATGCATAAATTGAACCCAAAAAATACTATTTCGTGCTTTTAAATTTTCACCGTGTTTTTAATTGTATCAAAACTCAGTATATGATTATTTACTTGTTTTTTCCTTTATTATTTTATTTGAACTTATTAATTATACAAATATATGATTTACCGTAATCGACGGCACTCTAACAAAATTAAAATGTAACATATTTTAATCCGTTAAAAGTTATATATATGTAATTATTTCCCCCGCGCTGTAGCAACTAACTAACATCCATTCGGATATTTATAAAATTCGGATCAAATTTTTTGGATTTCGGATCGGTTAGGATATAATTGGTTATAATCTAAATTACCCAAAAATTTATCGGACATGACTCTATTTGATTTTTTTTTTTTCCAATTGTACTCAAATAACTCATACTATCCAAGTATCTGGAAAAAAAAACATAGAAATGAGATAAATGATAAGTTCAAAGATCGAATTAACATAAAAAAACCATACCAATATGTTGACAAAAAAAAACATACCAATATATAAAAGTCAAACGTAAAACTGTGTTTGCATAAAAATTTTAAATAAACCAAAGAGAACCATAAAATCCTAATGAAAATGAAGTAACGGAATTCAGTAACATATATCCTTAAAATATTAAACTGTATGTCCTTAGAATATTAAACTGTATCTTATATTTGGGTATCCATTGGATATCGGTTCAGATCGGGTTTAATCTGATATTCCAAAGTAATGAAAGCTAAGAGCATCTCCAACCCATCTCTATTTTATCTCTATATGTGCCCCTAAAAATACAGTATAGAGGCATATATGCTCCAACCCACCCCTATTATTACCTCTAAAATAGATCTTGCTATATTTTTCTCTATATATAGAGGAAAAAATACAGTTTCTCTATATATAGAGGAAAAATAGAGTATCTTATTATATAAACCTTGGTTTTCAAAGTTAGCCATTAACAAGATCGTGACACGTGTCAATTATAAATGATAAGATATTGACACGTGTCGTAACTAATTTTGTTAATATTTGGATAAAATAGAAATATTATTAACCATATCGAAAAAGGAAATATATAAAATAAATATTATAAAAATTATATATTAAAAATTATTAATAAAATTAAACAAATAAGTCAATTATAAATGATAAGATATTGACACGTGTCGTAACTAATTTTGTTAATATTTGGATAAAATAGAAATATTATTAACCCTATCGAAAAAGGAAATATATAAAATAAATAATATAAATAATTATATATTAAAAATTATTAATAAAATTAAACAAATAACCTAATTTCAGTTATGTCAATTTGGTTTATTAATAAGATAGGGATTTAAAATTTATAATTAACAAGAATATATGGCGGTTTTTGTTTACAGAAGAGGATTAAGGTTTAAACTTTAATTGTACAGTTAAATCAGGTTATTTGTTGGTTTCGGTATATAATTGATAAATAAGAATTATGGTTTATCTTTATAAATTAAAATTATGATTTAAGTTTAACAATTAAACGAGATTATATGTCGAAACTTGGTTTTTAAATTTACTAACTCACGTGATCATGATAAGTGTCAAGTAAAAACATAAGATGTCTCAACATGTTATATCTAATTTTGTTAATATTAAGATACAAATAGGATTTTTAAACAACATTAAAAAATAATTATAAAAAATTAAAGAGAACTTTTGACAGATACCCTTTTGGTGTACCCCTTTCAAAAATACCTCCTTTATCTATCCATTTTCAAAAATATTCGTGTTTAAATATGAAAAATTATAAAGTTTTATATGGTTTATAAGGTACTTCTATATAATAACTACTACTTGGAAATTTGATACAAATATTTTATAATGTTTTAAAAGGTTTTAAATCGTTTTTACAAGTTTTATAAGGTTTTTAAGTGGTTTTAAAAGGGTTTATAAGGTTTTTAAAAGGATTTTAAAAGGTATTTATAAGTTATTTTACGCTATTTATGAAAGATATATAAAAATTTAAACATATGTTAAGGTAATTTGTGTGTATATTTATAAGTTTACACTCATATTTGGATAAATTTCAACATTTTTTTTTTGACATCGGATAAATTTCAACATTTATAGTGGTTTTTTTTATAAAGTTTAAAATAGGGGTATTTTTAAAAAGTGGTATGGAAAAAGGGTATTTTTGATAAATTAAAAAGTAAAAAAATTTATTTATAAAAAAATGTGTAAGCTTATATATCTAGACACAAATGATCTTTCTATGTGTGTAAATTTTAAATACCATGTAAATACCTTTTAAAAACCTTTTAAAAATTATTTAAAAAACATATAAAAACTTTGTAAACCTTATAAAAACCTTATAAAAGTCTTATAAATATTTGAATTGAGTCTCCCAATAGTAATGATGATCTAGATGTACCTTATAAACTATATAAAAGTTTACAATTTTTCATATTTGAAAAGGAATATTTTTAAAATGGGTAGAAAATTGGTGTATTTTTAAAAAGGGGTACACCAAAAAGGGTATTTCTCAAAAATTCTCTTTCAACTATTAACCTAATTTTTAGTTTTGCGAGTTGTAGGTTTTACAATTATAAGGGTTATCTGTTGAGTTTATAAATGTGCATTATAGTTTATATTTTATAATTAAACGAGATTATTTATCGGTTTGAGTTTATTAAAGAGGAGTGAGATTTAGGTTTTACAATTAAACAATGTTATTTCTCAGTTTGGGTTCATAAAAGAGAATTAGGATTTACAGTTTAAAAATAAATTAGATTTTGAGTTTAACTAAATACATTATTTTATTCATTATTTATATTTTATAATATGTTATATTTGTTTACTTTTTAATTTATGTATGAATGTATTATGCCATTGAGCAATTTCATTGTCTAAAACATAAGGGTGAATAAAAGATTTTCGAAAATAATATTTTTAGCTTAAATAAAAGATAACAAAGTTCAATATAAATCGTAATATAGTAATTTTAAAATATTTTTAAAGAAAATATGTAGTTTTTTATAATTAATATTTGAAAGATTTATTAATGTTTTCCTTAACGATGCTATAATTTATTTTAGAATCTTTATGTTTATTTGCGTTGTTTATATGAATTTATTTACAAATGACTCTATTTGTATTTAACATCATATTTTAGATTGATGTTAATTTGAAAGAACTTTACCATCATATTAAATAATAATTAATTAATTTTCATAGTCTGAGAAAGATTTTTTGAAAAATTGAAAGTTAAGAAATAACAAATTTTACAAAATGGTATAATCATGTTTTAGAGGATAATTGTTAAATTAAGATTTCTTAAAATATTTTAGCAATATTATGAGTAATGGTGAATAACTCCCAAATACCTCCCAAATGTTTTGGTGATTGTCAGTTTGACATTACTAAATTTTTAAAATTAACGTACACGTTTATTTGACAGTTCAAACCAAATAAAATCTCTTTCCAAATGAAATTAATTTCTCTTATTTTTTCAAAAACAAATTTAGAATTTTTTTTTTAAAAGTTATAATAAATTTTAATTTTAATTTAATTTTAAATAAAGATAACCCGTCCAACGGACGGGTGCTATACTAGTTCTATTATAGAGGAGTACATTGGAGTAAAACTTACTCTATTATACAGTTTCCCTATTTTAGAGGCAAAAATAGCAAAATACATTGGAGATGGTCTACGATCCAATCATTTATTTTCCAAATATCGGTTCGGTTTTAATCCAATTTTTTCGGTTCGGATTTTTGGATTCGGTTTTTATGCCCAAACCTATTTTGGGTTTATAAAATAGTGGCAAGAATTTATAATTTGTAATTACACGCAATTGTATTTTGGTTTGGATTTATAAAAGAGTGGTTAGGGTTTAGATTTTATACATAAACAAAATTATATTTCAGTTTGGTTGATAAAATAGTGGTTAGAGTTTAGATTTTATAAATAAACGATATTATAGTTTTGGTTTTGAGTTTATAAAATAGTGGTTAGCGTTTAGAACTTGTAATTACACAAATTTATATTTCGGTTTGGAATTATAAAAGAGTAGTTAGGATTAGATTTTTTAAATAAAAGAATTATATTTCTTTTTGGGTTGATAAAATAGTGGTTAGGGTTTAGATTTTGTAATTCAACTAAATTATTTTTTGGTTTATGTTTATAAAAGAGTTGTTATGATTTAAATTTTTTAAATAAATGAAATTATATTTTGATTTAGGTAGATAAAATAGTGGTTAGGATTTAAATTTTGTAATTCAACGAAATTATATTTCGGTTTGGGCTTATAAAAGAGTAATTAATATTTGTTTTTTCTGATTTTAATTTTGATTTTTTTAAAATTAATAATAATATGACATGGTATATTGTTGTATTTTGATTTATCAACTAAAAGGGGGTGAATAAGATCTAGGGATGCACCTTAGTATTGCTCGAAAATGAGAAGTATTATCAAAATAAAAAGCTGATGTGTCTCACTTAGAGAGCTTTTCAGAAAGTATTGCATAAATCTCATATTGTTTAATAACTATATACATAAATCTACAATAGACACCACATTTTTAAGACTTTTGTTCTCTGGTCGTGAAGTTTTTGTTTTTGAGTGTTGTGTTTGCGTATAATTTGTTTTGCTTATTTGAAATTTTGCTCTCTGGTCAGTGAAGTTTTTGAAATTATCTTTTGAATGTTGTGTATACGTGTCTTTGTTTAGCCTATTTGAATAATGTTCTCTACGTGAAGTGTATGTGTTTGAACTTTGTATTTTGGTTTCGTGGTGTATTAGTGTACTTTGTACTTTCAGTGGGACTTTTGGTTTGAAGTCAGAGACTTGAGAAATGATAGAAATTACTTCACTTGTGCCCTTCTTTGTATTTTGCAGTTCAAAGACCCTTCTCTTGATTTCACCCAGCCATATTTCTGACAAGAGAAAATGACATTTGATGAAGAACATACAAAAAACCTCAAACTAATTAAAAATCTTAC